TTCTATGTATAGAAAGTTGTAATTTCAGGTGCTTACAAGCTGGCTTGAACAGCCCTTAAAGCACACATGCTGAAGTGCCCATCAGCTACTTTTACAGCATAAAGTCCACGCTTGTAAGTTTACCTTGGTAAAACACTAACTAGAAGATATCTAACAATAATCTTTCTTACCAATGATTGTTGCGTTGGAGCGACCATGTCCGGTCAGGCTACCTGTGTTTTTGTGATTCATTTAGTACTGCGTTTAAACTTGATTTTGATTTTAGTAATGCCCAGTGCCGCCATTTGGCACAAACCGATTGTAATGCTAGGGGATTTTCTTACAGTTCATCAGCTGGTCACATTACCGGAGTTGGTCCTAACGTGCACGTACCCGATGTATTGCAGCATTTCCGTCTTTACGGCGCTCTTCGCTGCTGGAATAAGCGCTCACGTAAGGTTACTTTTAAAAGCTTATAGAGGAATATTTGTTCAGCAATACTCTGCAATGAACCTAATTGAAAGCCTTATAAGAAAAGACGTTATTTTGGTAAATATCGTAGGAAACATTCAGATCTCATAAAAAGGGTAACCGGTGTGATTTTTTCCCCCGTTTTTCCCGAGTGACTTCCGCGAATTGCCTAATTTAAATCAGGCGGAAAGAAAAACAAATTTTAGTCTACGGTCGTTAAATCACGAACCTTGAACATAAACATAAAATACTACTTTAGTAACATTCTTTATTGCTTATATGAATCGTCATCCTTGGAGTTGGAAATGTCATTTCACCGCCATATCACGTAGGCGTCATCATGTAGCTATTTGTTTCTGTGCTTTATTTTTATTAAGAGTATTTGTTTGTAGTCACTAAGTGAGGTATTTCTGCTTTATATTATTTTTATGACCTACCATGAAAATACGTTCTTATAATATTTAACTAAAAAAGGCTACATAATGAGGCTACAGGGAGTGATGCATTATATATGTTAAAACAACAGCGGTAAAAAAAATCGTAATTCGCGCAGTTTTTTTTTTTTTTTTGTTAGGAAGGACGACACAACTTGTCTACTTCAACCGATCACTAAGTGGGCCAACATTAACAATCGGTGTTCATTTTGTCAAAGGCCTATTCGTTTAAAATTGATTGTCAAATTCCAGTTGGATATCAAATAGGGATTGACAATTGAGAATTGCAACTTTAGTGTGAATAAGGGAATTCGCGCTACAGTCGCAACACAACATCTACAGGAAAAGAAAACCCCCTCGCCTCTCCCCCCCCCCCCACCCTCAATAAACAAACAAAAACGAAGTTTTTTTCTTTTAAGGTGGTATTAGCTAAAGTAACAGGATCTTGAGTACAAGGATCATGTGACGGGCTAGTTGGTTATACATTACGAATTTAAAAGTAGAGCTAAAGACGAGGACAAGTAGAAGACACGGACAGGTGCTGACTCGCAACTGATATTTAGTGAAGAATAAAAGGAAGATAAAGCAGAAGTGCAAGGACATATACGAAATGAACAAGAAGACTAACCAAAACGAAAGAAAGCAACAATTATTTTTGACTTCAAAATTAAGAAATAAAAGAAAAAATACGGTAAATATAAAAAAAATTAAAAAGATTTTTACACAAAACATTCAAATGAAAACCTACTCTAATTAAATGAAAGAAAGAAAAAGAAAGAGGAAGAAGAGGACTCTGAAAATTGATCTAGTTAAACGAAGTTCTCACACAAAATGTTGTAAGTAGTGCAATTCCTTGGCCGATAAGGCTACCGACGGTGCACTGATGCATGTATCCCCTTTAGCAGCTATGACTTTCGCCTCATAAATTTCTCTTGTTCGTTGATCACTGAACTTTTTTAGAATTTTTGTTCGATGGAATAGAGGAGTACACTTGCAATCTCTTACGTGTAGAGCAAGATGTCCCGCCGGTGAAGACTTAAGAGACAATGCATGCTCTCGCAATCTCATGTTCACACACCGGCCAGTTTGACCCACGTACACCTTCCCACACGAGAATAAAATCTCGTATACTACGCCTCTAAGGCAGTTCACACACTTATTAACATGCTTGTGACCTACCGGTAGGATCATTTCTAGAGCTCTTAAGGTTCTACTTGTCATCCACTGTAGTCACGTTTAATGGCAAGAACTACGTTCAAAGAAAGGGAATATGCTTAGGGTTATGCGTTGCCCCTGTGTTATGTGATATTTTGCTGTCCAAGTGCGACTGGGTTATTGCCGACAATCTTCCAAGCGGCCAAGTCACGCGTATTTTTAGATACGTCGACGACTACCTCGTACTTCTGTGTAATCGTTTGGAAAACAGCAACACCAAAGCAGTTCACGACCTTCACGCCACCTTTGTGAAGCATTCTCGAGGACTCAAATTTACACATGAACTTCCCACAAACAGCGTCCTTCAATTTTTAGACTTGCAAATGACCTTCCAGGACAACCATTTGTGCTGGATGTATTTACCAAGATAAAAAAAAAGCTACTCCGATTCGACTCAGCTCATTCCAAACTCATCAAAAGAGGAATCGTGACCAATTGCTTAAGAGCGGCGTTAAACAAGTCGTGTCACCATTCAGCCGGAGAGAGCTTCACCAACCAAATCCAGCGACTGCAAAGTTCGGGATACCCCGAGTCCATCTTGACGGATGTGGCAGAAAATATATTAATGCATGAAAAAATACGAGACCGAAGCAAAGAGAAGAGGAACCGACCAGCCAGAGTGCAGTACATCCATTCCATATCACATAACTTGAAAAAGGTAGCCGACAGGTTTGATGTCAGGGTGGTGCTTTCTGCACCTGACAAGTTGAAAAGGCTGTGCCCGAAAATCAATTCCCAACACGACAAACAGGACAAATGCGATGTCAAGCATGTTAATAAGTTTGTGAACTGCCTTAGAGGCGTAGTATACGAGATTTTATTCTCGTGTGGGAAGGTGTACGTGGGTCAAACTGGCCGGTGTGTGAACATGAGATTGCGAGAGCATGCATTGTCTCTTAAGTCTTCACCGGCGGGACATCTTGCTCTACACGTAAAGGATTGCAAGTGCACTCCTCTATTTTATCGAACAAAAATTCTAAGAAAGTTCAGTGATCAACGAACAAGAGAAATTTATGAGGCGCAAGTCATAGCAGCTAAAGGGGATACATGCATCAGTGCACCGTCGGTAGCCTTATCGGCCAAGGAATTGCACTACTTACAACATTTTGTGTGAGAACTTCGTTTAACTAGATTAATTTTCAGAGTCCTCTTCTTCCTCTTTCTTTTTCTTTCTTTCATTTAATCAGAGTAGGTTTTCATTTGAATGTTTTGTGTAAAAATCTTATTAATTTTTTTTTAATTTTTAATGTATTTTTTCTCTTATTTCTTAATTTTGAACTCAAAAATAATTGTTGCTTTCTTTCGTTTTGGTTAGTCTTCTTTTTCATTTCGTATATGTCCTTGCACTTCTGCTTTATCTTCCTTTTATTCTTCACTAAATATCAGTTGCGAGTCAGCGCCTGTCCATGTCTGTGTCTTCTACTTGTCCTCGTCTTTAGCGCTACTTTTAAATTCGTAATGGATCTTGAGTATTGCATAGACACCATTATTCTGAGGATTTTATGGAACATATTGTTCATTTACAAGCAACATCATGTAATTGTAGCAGCGCACCGAATGCAGCATTCTGTGATGCTAGAATCATGCCGTTTTTCTTTTAGTATACCATGTTTTCTCGTTAAATTAAGGGTGGAGTTTTTTCTGCTAATTTTATGTGGCGACAATTTTCAGAACGAAATATGTTTTAAAAGTGGCCCAATGACCAAACTACAGTTTGTTGCAAAATAAAAATAAAGCAGAGGCCGTAATAGTAAAGCAGAGGCCGTAATAGAGCATGGCCTATAAGGCCATGCTCTATTACGGCCGGACTGCAGGAGTTTTTCTCCAGAAAGTACAGTCCGACCGTGGCTCTATGTAATGTCCAATGCGCCGAAGGGCTTTGCGAATTAGGTAGATATTTGTATTTTAAGGAGCCAGATGTATGAATAAAAAAATTAGAAGATGCCTATTTCTTGCCGCTATGTGAGAAAAAATAATACATTTTTACTGAATGGCGTACTGACGCACTTTTGCGCTGGGAATCTCAGAGGCCGAACATTTCCTGCACTTTTTATGTTGCAACGAAATCAAGAGGGAACAAATGATGTTTGCGTGCTTGATCTTGGGAAATGAAGGCGCCACACGCTCGAAAACTTCAGGTTTAAAATGAGGAAGAAACGATGTAGACCCATGAAGCTGATTTATATTCCGGTCATGTGAACATTTCAGAACTTTCCACGCTAAACGTCATTAAAAAAAAAAAAAAAAAACATTGCCATGTTCATCATACATTCAAGGTGGCGAGCTGATTCACCACTCGCTCAAATGACAGTTGGTTAAATGCCATTAGAAATAAGCACGTTACCGAAATAAAAGGCAACATCAACAAACACACAGCAACGTAGCCCATTCACTAATCGCATCATCACACGACCCCGGAGAAGAATACAAATGGACGGGTGTCACTAAGCAAAACTTCAACGTTCAGAAGTCGCACTTTACCAAAAACGTTTCCCCTAAATATTTCGGAATCCACATATCTATAATGACTACATTGGGGACCGTTAAGCCAAATGTTCAGAAAACACAGCCACCCGTTTTCCTTATCTTCTCTTGATATTTTTTCTTTTGTTTGGTTCTATACCACAACGTGGATGACCGCAAGTGGTTCATACCATTCTCCGCGCTTCCGAAATTAAGGGCACTATATACCTTATTATGAACCACATTACCCATCTAGGGCTTAGGTGGGTAGCACTACGCATGATGCCTTGGAATGCAATTGTCATAATAGAGTTAGTTTTTGTCGTCTATTGAATCCTGCAGGTATTCCTGGTACATACGTGTGCGGTCGAGGTGTGCCGTACGTTCAATTTTGTGGGCGATATGGCTACCAGGAAGGCCCTTCTTGGGGTCTGTGGCGTGGCCTATTGCGTCAGCGCCCTCTTCTGCACTCAGGTGAAACTCAGCTTATGACATAAGTTTCGCTACAAAACGAAAAAGAAAACATAATGAGTTATCAGCCTTGAATAAAACAAAACTTTCATTGTTTTTTGAAATTGTGAAATTTATTATCTCTCATCTTCACGCAATTAAAAGTGCCGAATTCTGGCTCTAATACACAGGGTGTTTAAGCAACGCCTGAGCATAATGTTTCATAACGCGAACGTGAAATATAGAAATAATTCCTTCGTGTTAACACTATCGATTACGACGGAGGTTAGGTTACGAGCACGGTTCTCTCCGCAGTGGCTTTGCCGTCCACCTGTCTGGCTTACTGTCCACCTCTCTATTTTACCTCCGCTGGGCAAAACAATGTGAATTTTGGAAATGCACAACGTCCCAGATTGTTGAGTTTGGCAGACTTGTGTGGCATTACGCAAGAAAACTGTAGAATCCTTGCAAGCAAAATCAGTGCTGCGTGGCAGAGAAAGTGACGAGAACACAAATACCTTCTCTCCCCATAATACCCTGGATATTGTCAGATGTCCAGGTGTCAAGCATTTCTAGGGAGAATGCTCGTTACGAGAGTTAATAATTATTATCAAACTAATTACTTAGGATGCGCTAATTAACCTTAGAAATAATTGCCTTACCCAGCCCAATCCCGTTAATAATGAGTTGCCCAAGATCACCCTATACCACAGTTGTCAGAATTCAGACAATTAAATTCTGCTCCGCGCTATTATCGCTCAAATTCAATGTGTGAGAAGACTAAGGTACCAAAACTAGGAGAAAAAGAGCGACGGAAATCCAACCCGGAAGTGACGTTGGCAGGCGCGGCAGGCGCGAACCGATCTGGCAGCGGCACGTGATCTAAGGGTCACGTGATCTAAAATACACGTGGTCGTAAGAAAGGCGTGCCACACTTTGGTGTTTTGTGAGGTGCACAGATTTCGGCGCTTTAGATCCTTCGTCTCGGCGTCACTGACTCAAAATAGCTTAATTTTGACATCGAACAGTGCGGATAACAATATGGTTTTCTGACTTCTAATTGTTATAGCATACTAAAATGACGGGCAACCAATCTCCAAGTGAAATGCGCCAGCTAGAACAAATATTTTCAAAGTAAATTAGCAGATTTTTGGCTGTTAAATTGGCAATGACTAATTTTAGTCGTCCATTGAGGTTCACTGCCGTTGATGAAATTATAAACTTTTATATTTCAAGTTTTTTTTTTTCAAATATACTCAGTTGTCACTGAAACACCCTGCAAACATGTAAACGCAATAACGTAAATGATTTTGATGCGCCAAAAATGTTTCGACAGTCAAGTCTAAAAGGGCCACAATGGTGCTATATGTTTTGTTTACATAAAAAGGTATATTTTGAGTTAATAGTTTTTTTTTAGTTCCTTGACATTTGGAGGCAAATATGCTTGATGAGCCACACTAAAGGCAAACGTCGCTTTCACGCCCGGGAAGTGATGCTCTTGCGAGGTGCCATCTTAAAGGTCCTGTTTTCCTGGTCGGAATTTTCAGCTCTTTGTGTTCCGCTGACTGAGGCTTACTGGGTTTGTTTCCTGGTATAACATTTACTACTATCATGATACAGGGAAGCATAGGAAATAATATGATACAGGGCAACATAGCAGGATATAGCAAAGTTTCCAGTAATTGTTTTTGTGAAGCACGAATTACCTTGCGTTTCGTACAGTTATGAGTTGCTTGAATAACGTCGTACAGTCTGCCTCAAATGCCATCCTCGCGTGGAGAATGTTTTATTACAAATAGCTATGCCGTTAAAACCTCTATAGTTAACTGGTTGCCAGTTCAAATACTTTTTTATATTTTCATCATTTTTATTGAATGTCGCCGATATTCTTTGCTGTTTTATTTTCAAATGATTAAATGTTTTGGCTTAATCAAACGCGCACTTACAAAAAATGTTTCCCAGATCGCCATATAGAGAAAAACGGGTTTGCCTTAGAAGCATCAAACTATGACCAGGGTGATACTACTGTTCATTTCAAAGAACATCTTGATAAAGGCAAATATAATTGAAATATCAAGGTTCTGTCTACTAAGCCACTGTGGGAGTACAGTGCTCACCAAACTTGCATGGAAGTCGTGAACTGTGTGTTCTGTCATGGCAGCTTTATCCTGGTAGAAATTAAACAACGGCTTCTTCGTGTAGCACTTCAGAATGCTTTGTTGAACGATAGGTAACAAAACCGTTGCTCAGCTTTCACCCAAAGATAGCATTCCCATTAAAAAGAAACATAGCTTGTGTGTTCCATACAAGTTTGCTGAGCACTATACAACTGATTGTGTATTCGTTCAATTGGTTGTGTTGCCCGTTTGTCAAACCTGCCGATAGTGACTGACAACCAAATTTAACTTGACGGCTCAATATGCGGAACGGAATATTTATGGCTGCATTGCATTTCCAGGGTGGCCCCTACTTTCACCAGATAATTGAACAGGGGCTTACTCGGAACCTCATGCTTACTGTGACAATGTTAGAAACCCTGGGTTTAATATGGTTCTACGGTAAGTCTGAATAAAATGTTGGAACCTTATGTTAAAGATCGTCCTGTAGATGTCGGAGTATTTTCGGCCTTGTAACTCAGATGTGAAAGCTTTTAGGGTAATTGTTGGCCTGCCTTTATCTTCATGAGAAAGAGGAGGAAAGTGGGGGCTTGTTTTGTCATTCATTGTGACAAACGCTAAAATATAATAAAAATAAAAGTGATGGATATGGGTGTAACGTGTCCAGCAATGTAAACAGTTTAGCACAGACACTTGTTTATTAGTACAAACCGTTTTTAAGATGTCCGAGAGTCACTGAGAGGAGGGGCTTTATATCGATAGCGTTTTGTTTGCTTGCTATGTATTAAGCAGCCTCAGAGGGGTCAAAAATAATCGCTGGCAACCAGAATGGTGCAAATATATTCTGGCAATGTTTGGTGTTTTGTATTATGTAGGAAAAAAAATCAGTATTTTTATTCATCAGGTTTGAGAAGGATCTGCTTTGACGTCGAATACATGCTCAAGAAACCGGTGAGCCCTTATTGGATGATGACTTGGACCTTCACAGCACCGACGATCACGATCGTGAGTTCATGACTTAAACTGCAAGGCCCCGGTCTCTACTATATTCGAAGTGTTTTAAAATGTTTTCAAGTGTTCACTGACGTCCATAAACTACGCGTTCAAATTTGTTTACCTCTGATATTGCGTGCGCGCGAAACGCCCTCGCTAAAATGTTTATGACGCACGAGGAATAGTAGCACAAAATAAAAACACAATACATTATAGAACATCGCTGTTTTATTAGCTTTTTAGAAGCACGTCTACTGGAGTCGCGCAAATAGTACGTTCTACAAACGCTTGAATAGTAATGGCAAATTGTTCTAAGTTTAATTGAAAATTGAACTCGAAAATATTGAACAGATAATACTTTTTCACATATCCTATCATTGGTTTCAGCAAAAGCGCATTGTAGTATTTCATGTATATACATTTTTAGTTTTAATAAATTGTTTTATACTATTCAATTGTGTATCTATAACTACAGCACTAAGCATATTGGTATGGTTCGACATCTAGAGACGGTCTTGTATATAAAAGAAAAGTATGAAACGCCGGGTTTCCGATTTTATATATTCGCTCAACTTCAAAGCCTCCGTTTAAACCAAATAAAATAAAATAATTTAGTCTTAGATTTTGGTATACACTATACTCTAAGACCCAGCACATGTCTCGCGACGAAAATATTACAAATAAATAATGAAAAAATAACAATTTTTTTATTGTAAAAATGTTTGAAAATTGTGGACTTAAAGCAATTTCAAATCGAAATAAAAAAAAATAACACCACAAGAACTGATCGTGGTTACGCATAAAATATTCAGGCAATGCAAATAATTTACAAATAGTCAACGAGAAAAACTGGAACGCCCCCCAGCGGCTGAGACGAGTTCTGGGAATTTCGTGTCAACGAAGAGCTCCATTCAGGTTTCGCCCATCGTACCGCGGCCAACCGCGGCAAGGCACGGATACCGCGGACCTGCTCTTCACACTTCACCACAGCGTACCTCACCCTAGTCTTGGTGGATTCATTCATATGTACACGCGATGCAGACCCGTGTACATATCACGTATACGCATCACTTCGTGGATCAATCCACGAAGACCACGGCGAGAAACGCAAAGGGTGGATTTCAGGTGGAGGACCGCGGTGTCCACCACTGAACGCGGTACGATGTAAGAAACCGAAACGCGGCTCCTGTTTTGCAGATTGCCTATAAGTAAGCGGAAATTTAATAAGTTTCTGAATTCTTGCTTGATAGGTTATCTTCACATATCAGGCCCTAGCAGTAGTTGAGGGAGACCTCATCATGGCGGACAACGAGTTTCCGTACTGGGCAAAGATTCTGGTCGGAACACTCACCCTGGCTTCCGTCATGGTGCTCATAGTTTTCATGGTTCGGCACCTGGTGAGAATGGTGAGACTTCTTTTTTGTTCTTAAATGCGTTCGGCGGACACCTATTTCTACTATTGCCTCGAGATCGACCTAGAGGTGTCGCGCTATCAACGTCATCGAAGCGGGGATGGAAGCATGGCCGCCACATAGGCTCTCCACGTTCGCTCGCGAGACGGTGTAGATTCTTGCGTTTAGTTTGTAGCATAGCATCGGTAGGAAAACAGTATAGCAAAGAAATGGCGCGGTGCTCTTCGGCGCTTCAGAGAAGATCGAACCGTATTACCAGCGTGGGGCCTAAATTTATATCATCGCTTGTGTGGATGCATCGTCTGCTCTAGGCAGGCGTTGTAAAGCATGGATAACCACGACAGATGCCCGTTTCTGGGTAAACTGCACTATTTATGTTAAATATTTGTGTATTTTAAAAGAAATGGATCGGTTTACCTACCTGAAACTTCAACAAAACGAGGAATTCCAACCTGAATACTTACCTGGTACTCTAGGTTGTGAAATCACAGGTTTAATAGATTTTTCTTTGCGTAACGTTTAGCGCTTGCAGTAATATAAATATTTCGCATAGCAAGACGTTGGGGCTGTATTCAAGATTACCGTACTTTTGCTGGCTTCAATGAGTAAGAAAGTTAAGATGGAGTCCATCTTCCCTTTACTGTGCCATGGTGTGGTTAAGTTTTTCGCTGGTCCAGCTCTTTCTAATCGCGACAATGTTATACATTCCTGGCTAAATTATCATTTATTCAAAGTAGACTCTGCAACTATAACGAACGACCCGCACTACGACACAGACAACATCAGCCGCAGCGACACTCTTTTACTGATAAGCGCCAGCGACTCTCACCAGACTTTCCGATACCTCTGCGCCCTTACCTAACGCAAAGTGTGAATAGGCAGTTCATAAATTAACCTTAAGACTATTCGAGTGACGCTTTACTCGCGACACTTTTTTGCAATTTAATTGGGATCTTGTACTGAAAAAAGTCTCGAACAAACAAAAAAGTGAAGAAATGCCTGCTTTAATATTTTTGACGTCTTTATTTCCTTTAAGACAACCGATAAACCACATCAACACGCCTGTGATTTCCATCGGGGGTGATCACACTGATTACATATTAACTGAGAACGGACTCCAGTTTAAAAGTCTTCATATCACTTTAGGCGTCAGAACGCGGAATTTAAAATGGGATTGCAATATGCCATTTATGACATAATGAGAAAAGAAAAGTGTAGTTTTATTATATTTTATATAATATCACTGGAGAAATTCATGTAACGGATTTATCAATTGATTAGTCTATTAAAGAGTGGCGAATTGTCGGGTTAATGTTTTAATCAGCCCCGAGCTTTAATCAGCACTTAATGTTTTATGAAAGCTATGGATCGTGCGAGAGCAAAAATATGTTGGACCAGCGGTTCTACAAACCACCTCACTAAGATAATGGAAACATCCGACTTAATAGTAATCGCTTTCTTTGATTTTCACGCGTGGAAAACAATACAACTAAACCTTTAGTAAAAAAAAATCATTTAATGAGGGTTCAGCTTAGTCAGAAACGGGCTTGTGTGGTCGAGATCGATGCTTCTGAACGTGCGCTGTGTAGCAGACGACGCACGGCTGTATCCCCGATTTCGCATGTTTCTGATTTCGGCCACGCGGTGGCGACACACTTCGATCTCGAGGCGAATGGTCGCTGACAAGAGAAGAACAGCAGGGCGCCTCTTTTGAATGCCCGGCCCCCTGCACTCGCTCACTGCCATCCGTCGTGCGTGCACGCTCGAGGTTCACGAGACACCAAAGTCTGTTCAAAGGTGGGAATCTCGTGCGCTGGAGGTGAGACGACTGATGGACCTCCCTATTGTTCTCAACCTGCCAGGGACTATGAAATGTTGCGCGTGTTTTGAGACAGAGGTAACTCAAGCTCTGTCTTGAATTTACTAAACCCAGCCCTGTTTAACTTCTGATATTTTCAAATGTGTCATACAAACGAATAAAACACATTTATATCATCCACTGTATGGGCAGGTTCAAAGGAGCGCTTCTATTGCGAAAAAGAAACACGTTCAAACAGGGTATTTGGTGCGGCTCTATTTCAGAAACTTTGAGGATTTACTTGTGCGTTTGCCTACTCCTTTCGCGAGTTTCTTCTACACTCTTAAAAAAAAAAAAAAGCTAGTAGTATTTTGTAGGTAGAAGCTACTAACTGTTTGTCACATATGTTACTAGGTACCTAATAACTGTAGGTAGTAGCGGTTACTAGGTCAAGAAGCTAGTAACTGTTCCTAGCGTCAAAGTAGAACCCGTGTGTTTCTCTATTTCTAAGTAGTGACCTCTAACTAGTAACCCGCATAGAACCGGCGATTTCACAACGCACAGTACCAGTATTATGCATGCATTCGAGTTGGTATTTATTGTTCTGTTGAATTTTCACGCTGGTGAACCAATACATCTCTTTTAAAATAAAGAAATATTTATCATAAACAGTGCAGGTTACCCGGAATCAGGCATCTGTCGTGGTGATCCATGCTTCACAACGCCTGCCTCGGGCAGAGGACGCATCCGCGCACAGGCGATGATCTAAATTTAGGCCGTACGCTGGCAACACGCACGTGACGCGCTTGCTCGAATCGCTCTAATCGCAAAATCCCCTGACTGCCCATGAGTCTTTTATACTGACCATTTGAGTGCGCAAATTTGTCGCCGTGTATCACAGCGTCAGTGAATAATGTTGCGAATATAGCGCTCTTTTCGCACCAATACCCTCCCTCAAGAAAGCTTTCAAACGATTCGAGGCTTTTCTCTTCTATAGTAGAAAACAAAAGTAAACAAGGAAATTATTTGCGACAGTTGATACAACAACCTCCCCCACCGGTTCCCAGCAACCATGTCATCGCTTCCCCGCACAGCTGCCGCAAACCAGTTTTCTCGTCGCTTACGTTAATCGATAATTCAAACGAATGCAGTCGCCGTTGCCGACAGGTTATTTTCTTGTCGTCACCCGCGGCGAGCGAGGGGTGGAATTGATGGTGAGTGCGACGGCGGCTGCACTCCTTTCGCGCGTTGCGCGACAGAAATGTATGCAAAATTATTACCGCATGCAGCTCGCATCTTCATTTGTGCGTAGCCCTCTGAGGAATGCTCGCGTTTCTGGGGGAAGATATAAGCAAAATCAGAAAGGGTCCGAGAATGCCAAAAATTTTTTTCATCAGTCCTAAAGCTAAATAAACTATTTGCGACGCGCATCAACGGTCGCGACAGTGCACTGTCACGAGCGAATACAGCTTAATCGGAATCATTCTACCCCCGTGCATACACAGACCGCGAAGACGGCGTTCTCAGCGTCAAGTAGGAGCGAGGCAGCGAAGCTTCTTGAACGGCGAAACCCTTGCCACTGAACCGGCCGAACGATCGCCGTCAAGCCGTGGATCCGGTGACGAGCGACACCGGCTCGTTAAAACTAAACTCGGAGCAGTCCATGTTCACGCACACACTTGCCCAGTCGAGCGCACGAACGTTAACTATCCACTCCAACACGTGAACACGAAACAGCACACGACACACAGCAAGAACGGCAGGTTCGGATCCCAGAAAGGAACGTCTCGCAAACTCCCGACTGGTCCGACACCCAAACCTGATTGTCGTACAATGTTGCCAAACGTATTGTGCAAACGAAAGACATATCTTTTATGGAACACAAGAATAAAGAAAAGCAAAATGAACCTTTTTTATTTATGAAACGTTTTTAGCACGTGCTGCGCGGCTATGTTTATCCATAGTATGTGCGTCACTAACGCTGGCCATCGGTTATGCAGCAGACGCCGCCATCTTGTCCGCCCCTATCGGGTGGTAAATACAGGGTGAAACAACGAGACGGCAGGCTCTTTGAATCGAACGCAAAATTCGGTTTCTTAACCTATCACGCTACGACTTTGTGCAGCATTGCCCACAGATGGTGCATTTTTTTCGTAAAATTTGCAAAGAGCGAACTTACCTGAGGAAAAAGTAAAGAAAGAAAAAGGCTTAGCTCTTATGGAAACGGAGCGAAGCCACCGGTCTGCAAACAACACGGCGCCGTTTAGCATGGGAGACAAGAGATGGCGCAAGCGGCTGCGGCGCCAACTGCCGCCAACGAACGAGCAGACGACGCCGAGAGCCGGCGTATTTAGCAGAGAAGGAACGGCAGTTCCTTGTTGTTACCGCGCCTGTTTTTGTTTCTGCGACTGTCGCCGCCTGAGGAACGCGCGACGCTTTTGCGTCGAAAAGATTGTCTGCTAAAGACGCTGGCTCTCGGCGCCGTATGCTCGTTCGTTGGCGGCGTTCGTTGCGCCATCTCTTGTGTCCCGTGCGAAACGGCGCCGTGTTGTTTGCAGAGCGGTGGCTTCGCTGCGTTTCCATAGGAGCTAAGCCTTTTTCTTTCTTTACTTTTTCCTCAGGTAAGTTCGCTCTTTGCAAATTTTACAAAAAAAAAAAAAAAAAAAAAAGCACCATCTGTGGGCAATGCTGCACAAAGTTGTTGCGTGATAGGTTAAGAAACTGAATTTTGCGGTCGATTTAAAGAGCCTGCCGTCTCCTTGTTTCACCCTGTAGATACCAGAATGGTAATAACGGTCAGAAAAAGGTAGTAACGCCTGCATTTACTAACTTCTTACTACCTAGTGCGAGTTTGATGTGGTAAATTGTTGGTGAAAGGTAGTAACTTTCATAAAAAGGTAGTAAATGCTGGGGTTACTAGCTTTCACTAGTTCTTTATTTTTAAGCGTAGTTACCTTCCTTGGAGTTTTCCGAACATAAAAACAGATGACGCTGGCTGTTAGATTTCTTAGAGTTCGGTTTGATATATTACCACGTGAATCTCTCTGATTTGCGATCCAAGTGTTGTTTTCTTAACGTGATCAGAGTTGAAA